CAGCCCCTCTCTTTCCATTGCTAATCTTTCTCCTTTCATCTAGAAGGAAACTTGAAGCTCCCACAAAATGGAAAACATGGATAAATTTTATTTAACTTTTCTTTAAAGGTGCTCTTTTACCAGTCTCTCCTAACTTTACAGGCAAAAAAGAAAGGAAAGGGACCCCACAGTCACTTAATCTTTATTTGGGCCTACAAAGCATTACATTTTACAACAGCAGAATCACAGTAAACCCAAGAAACGCAGATTGTACAAGAGGATCAGAGCTTCCTTACAAACAGCAAAATGTACTGTCTTCAGCAAGTCTGATTAGCTTGGACAAGTTCAACAGCTAGCGTGACCTCATGAAAACTGAAATGCCATCCAAGAACTCACTTGACTTAAACAACCGTCGCCTGCACAGCTCTACAGGAAAGAAAGACTGTTCATGCACAGGTTACCAACACCGTTAGGACAACTCAGGAAGGGTGTGAGCAGACACTGATGGGTTGTGCCTTCCTCTCTCTTGCAGGTGGGCAGGGAGGACTAGCAGTAGTAGAAGAGCTGGTACATAATGGTCTCTCTCTGATTTGTAAAGCTAGAACTTATCAGAAGCCAAAATAAAACCCTGTATTTGAAGAATTAAGAAATTGTGTAGCACCAGTCTCAGCACCGCACTAACTCCCAAGCTAAAAATGTGACCAAAAACCTCAGTTGCTCTGTTAAAGTGAGAGGACTTACTTGGTATGTATCAGCTTAAAATTTGGCCTTTTGTTCTACTGTTGAAATAGCACAACCTTCCCTAAAGGACACAACCAACCTGTATTCTTTCATTTCGAGGAAAATACGGAGGTTTTTCCCCAGTTCATTTTTGTTAGAAAATTCCTTTTGTGGCGACTCAAGTCTTTCAGAAGGTTGATATAAAATCTCTAGTATTTAGACATTGTGTGTTCTGAGCCACACAATGAAGACAGAGACTGTTTAAACCAGATTTCCCAGCCTTTGTATATCCTCACTTCTTACCACACCAAAGGCCTGGGTCTAGAAAGAGCTTTCTAAAGAAAGGTATTACCATTTTACTTACTCATCCAGAGAAAAACATCTGCACTGAGCAGGAAACAGCCATAATTTCAGCAACTCTTTTGCTCTATTCTAAACAGAAATGCTGACAGGTTTTTAATGAAACAGACCTTTTCAAGAGTAATGCAATTTAAAATACACAGTACTGCCACATTTGGGGCCATGGGGTTGTCTAAACATTTATCTCAGTATAGCTAATCCTACATCTCCCTTGCACAGGTCAATTCATTCCAGAATAAGAGTAGCTGCTTTTTTGTTATTTTAAGGCTTAACTTAAATCAATTCCAAAATAATATTAACCAAACTTGAAAAAAGCTCTTGTAATAATTATGAACAACTCTGGCTTAGAGGAATCTGAGCGTCCTTCACACATTTACAGTTCACCAGCAAGAAAGTCAGCACCAGAACATCCAAAATTCCCAACACTAGGGCAGTTAGAGAGAGAAAAAGACCTTTTTTTCCTTAATTTCCAAAGAAGGAGTATTAAAATAAAGTATAACAGTTGGTCTCCATCTTCTCTATTAGCAGCCTACTTTTGTGTTCGAAAGCTTAAGAACTCTCCTCACTATCTGATTTAGAAACACAAACCCCATAGGACATGCAAACATTCAGTTTTCTGCCTTCTGTAAAGAGCAGCTGCCAAACTTGAGTTAAAATGGCACACACATGACAGGAAGCCATCTTAACTTTCCCACCCATACTGAATATTAATTCTTATTGGACTGTAGCACATGCAAATGGCAACCATTAAGATCGCATCACAAATATTATTTCTTGTACAGCCCAAGCATATTAAACAATATAATACTTGAGATTATAATTCTATGCCCTCAGCCACTAAAAAAAAAACCAAACAAAAAAAACACCTACCCAAAAATGTGGGGTTTGTTTTTCACAAAGTCAACATAATTCATCAGTGAATACTTGGGGTCATTCATATATACATTTATATATACAAGCCAAAACAACTTTTCTCCTGCCACAAAGTTGGTACCATCTCCTCAGTACAGCTCCAGAGAAATAAAAATGTTAATTCCCCCGTCATCGGTATTCAAGAAGCCCATCCATTCAATTATCAAATATGAAAGCTTCAAATCCATAATTTTTCCACTTTTCAAGCAAAAGAAAGCCTGAGTCTTAGTCAAAAGAAGTAATAGCAACATTTAACTAACTAAACAAATAAAATATTTCCTTCCTCTTCAGCAAAAACACTGTCAGCAAGTTAAAGCTGCAGTGACTTTCATTTCAAGTAGATCAGATACAGTTCACTGCAAATTGTAACAACTGTTCACATCATATTTTGAAACAATGCCTGCAAAATACATCCTGGTTTTGGGCAGATTCGTTGCTTTTTAAGACAACAAAACATTATTTTGCGTATTTGTGCTTTAGAGTATGACGTATTCTCAGACCTGAAGTTTCCATCATTATAAAGGTCACCTAAATGTTGCTCAGTTAAAAAACCTGCTGCAGTACTACAGTTTTCGGGGAGAGAAGCAGATGGCCTTTGGCTAAGTCACAGGTCTGTAGCTATATTCCCTGTTGTAGTAATGAGTGCCTGTGTAACTGGAAGCAAGTCATTACCCTGCTGGATTATCCAGGTGTAGGAGTCAAATTACAATATTTGCCTTCTTTTAAAAGAAGTGTTAAAATCTATGCATAGAGTGATCTATTTAATTATCAGGATGTATTACCACAAACACACACCACCCCCAGGAAGCTTTGATAAAAGATTACAAGTCAAGCACTGAAAAAGTTGACCCCAAAATCTGGAATGCATAGTCTGCACAGCTTTAAATTCAGCCCCTCTGTGCAAATGGCTAAGATAAGTCTTCAACTACATGATCACATATTGTTTTTGCCAGGGGACTCTAACGGCTTGCTCACCCACTAAGTGGTCATTTTCTGTTTTGGTTTAATCTTACTGCTCTGTGCATAACCCCAGGCTTTATTTGCTAAGCATATTCAAGCCATGCACTCATAACTGAATTATTCATCTCCTCTCAGGATTTTTTTTTTTTTGGCACACCTCAGTTTGGGATCTGGGCATATCAGAACCAGTAATGTATTTGCATTCACACGCATCATTATCAGAAGGGATAATTACCCTCATTTTCCACATGAGAAACTGGGGCACTGCAAGATTATGATCCAAAGTAGCCATTAAATAGGGTGCCCAGACCTGTTTCCTTTTTCCCAGAACACTGCATATGACCATATTTTCACCACCAACGATAAAAACATCCTCCAGACAATTGGCCTTTCATTCCACTACATTATATTTCCAGTTGCAGGTCCAGTCTGCACAAGGAATGAGACAGGAATCAATGGAAACAGTAGCAGAGACTTAATACTTCTAAGTAAGGAACATGAAGGGAAGCTGCACAGACAATTCAAAAATCATGCAACTTCTCAGTGCCTGTCTTTGCAACCTTACAGATCAATGCATTTTTAACTTACCGTGTATTTATAAAAAAAAACAACTTCCAAAAATCCACAACTCAATGGACAAACTCCATTCTCCTCCTTCCTGGTTTCTCTCATATTAGTGCATACTCTCATCCAGGAAGAATACCAGGAGCATGGCTCCTGTCTGGTACACTACTGGAGTAACTGGTGCCAGTCACAGCCACTCTATGTATGGAGTAGCACTGAAACAGTATCAGGTAGATTTTTTTCCCCCCTGGAATTCACATACGTGTAGCCAAGCCTCCAAAACAGTAAGATGCTATAGGGAGAAACATCTGCTTTAGTCTCAATATCTATGGCTTTTTTTTTTCCCCCCCTCCCCTCTTTAATTATGCCTCAGTCTCTTTCTCACATCGATAAACCCTTTTTCTTCTCTGAGACCTTAACTTGTTTCTCACCAAAATCCCTGTCTCCACTGATTAAGTTCAGTTCTCACCTCTGTACATTCTCCATGCTGTATTTATTCTCTCACTCCAATATACCAGCTCTCCAAACTCCAACATCTTATCACAACTTCTTTTCCCAAATAGCCCCAGTTCCTCAACTGCAAGCTTCTCATATAAGCTGAGGCTGACCAATAAATGATTCCGGCAATTCAGGCAAACAATTCAATTCCTTTATTGAAGACAAACACCATTTAGCAGTTGCATAGTAAAATCATGCCCATAATAAATAAAGAGTTACCATATAGTCATATGCAAGCACTGTAATTACATTATACTAACAGGAGCTGTACAAGTCCCAAAAAGCACAGACTGAACTTGGTTGACATCAGCCAAGTTCAGTAAGAACTGAAGATTAGTCTCACTTTATTCTTCTACCATAGCTTTTACAGTCCTACGTAGCTTTACACTCCCTTTCTATTTCCCGACCTTGTTATAAATAGTGCGTTTTGTCAGTTCAGATATCAACTAAAGAGACAGTAGTAACTCAGGACCCTGAAACCACCTCTTATATCTCACAGCTTCATCCTCGTAAGTCATTGGTACTTTCCAATAATGGTCCTAAATAATGATTTCTATCCTGAAACAGGAAACTCCTTAAGACAACAGAAATTTGAATTCAGTTTCCTTGTATTTCGAGGTTTTTTCTTTTTGCAGAGAGAAGAGGTAAAGAATTACTACTTGCTTGAATTTACAAGGTATCTTGATGCTTAATGATGGAAAACAGTTGTCACTCAGTAACTCAATTCAGAGAACACAAGCACCATCATATTCAAAGCTGAAAACTTTGAGAACAGGGCTTAGGGTAAAAGCACATTAATCATATTTAAGTAGTGTTAGATACCTAAATAACAAGCTGCAGAAGATTCCTCACCTACAATGTAACAATTCAGAATATTCTCAGCAAATTACCAAACTCTTTTCAGCCAAAAAATTCATTAGGTTAACAAAGACTCATTAAATCAGTGTTTGACAATTACATCAATTTATTAGTAACTCCAAGTTCAGGTACACTTTGCAAATACTCACAGAAACCTTCAATCTTGTCAGCTGTCTTGCTCCATGCTACCTGCCTGGTTTCCATTATGACTTGAATAGTCCTCCTTTCTGGACTACTCTTCTTAAGACTGAATACGGTCATAACAGTTCCCAACTCCAAGGTCCTTTTGATCTGGCTTTTCTCATACTCCGGCAGCACTCCATAGTCTATACTCTTTCTGGGCATTTTTTTTTTTTTTTTTTAAATCAAACTTTTATGGTTTTCAGTGTCCTGAAAAGAAAAAGAAGAAAGAAAAGGGGGAAAAATCAATATTTCAAACAGTATTTTTATTTCTTTAAAAATCACATTTGCATAAGTTAAAGCTACCTAATAGGGACTCCTGCCCATTCAAATACAAGGCGGATACGTGGCTAACATTAAGAACATCCTTGCCGTTTTATCCTGAAATAAAGTACAAACAGTCTTCACAGAGGGCGGCACCAGTGACGCTTTGGTAGACGTGCTGCTGCAAAATCTATTAAAAATGAAAAGCTGGGTGGAGCAGCTACTGCATGCAATGAATTGTGATCTAAATTTCTCAGCAAGACCAATGCCTCTCTTCTAGCTGCACCATACCACTAACTGCTTCCTCAGTCTTCTAACACAGAAGTACATGGTGTTCCAGACCAAAAGAAAGTCAGCCAAGGTCTATTTAGCCCAAATACACAAAAATTATGTTAAGGGGCATAACTTCCTCTATGCTTTCATGCATGCACATCTTCAACTGCATGTGCACCCCCATCAAATGCAGTTTTACATCTCTAAAGTCTCAGCATTATGACAGAAAAAAAGCAGAAAAAAAAACCAAGAAAGATGACCTGGAAGAAAGACCAAATATAAGCATACCTGAGTAATAAGGACAGAAGAGCAAAACACAAAGAACGCAAACCATTGAAATGCCAGAGAAAATAATACTCAGGTCATAACAAAGAAAGCATTTAAGCCTAAATAAAACTAAAGAACACACCAGTAACACGAAAAAAAAAAGTGTTCAAACTAAAGCAGAACTACGTTAAAAACCTCTTCTAAAGGAACAATTATTTGGTATCTCTGTAGCATTTTCTGCCGCATTTTCTACACCCTCTCCTAACCAAAAAATAGCATAAATGCAATTATACTGCACAAATTGCTTTGACCATGGCAGTTTATTTCACTCACCAAGCCTCCAACTTTTTTGCCAGTATAACAGGCAACCAAGGAAGGATTACTTCCTGGAACAGTTACACAAGCAACTCTTGATTAAATAGCCAAAAATGGTACCTAGTACAGTTACGAATAGAATCCTTTTCTGTAATATCTAGCAGATTTTCTGTAGTAAGTATATCACATTTTACATTTGATGTGCATGTATAATTTCTAAGCATAACACACCACATATTCTGTCCAAATGCACTTTTACCAAAACAGCACCTCATAGCACTAAGAAATAAGAATGGACCACTGAAGCCTTCAAGTAGCAATACTGTTTTTTCCCCAGAAAATGGCAACTGCTACTGGTAGGTCCAAAGTAAGACAGACTTCCTCAAACAAAGTTCCAACCTTGACTGTATTTTATCTTGGTTTGATGACTTCAAGAGTCTTCTAAGACATCAAAAAATGTGTACTTTGACCCTACCAAATTCCTTTCAAGCATCAGATCTGCTTTTATTTATTTTACACAGAGTGAGATACCTTTGCTCACAGAGATTTTCTCTAACTGACATAGAGACAGAAGTAGCTCCTAACAGAGATCACCATTCCTACATGAATTTCTTTACTGTTTTAGGCTATTTGTAGAATCATGTTCCATAAAAACCTCAGGAGTTTTATGCAAACTGGAAGTTAAGCTTTTCATTCTTAAAACTGAGGATAATTTAATTTCTACTATTGTAAGCAATATCTGGAAATTCATTTCATCCTAAGTATTGACAATCTAGATATCAACACGAGAAAAGAGATATTTGCAACAGATTTGAATCATACTCAAAATCTTTCTACTCTCCCAGGATTATTTTTTTTTCATATTCCCAATGCTATCTTCAGATAACCAAAATGCTGTCCCCATGGTGAACCGCAGCAGGTTTGTTCTTCTTCTTCTTGCCCTGTATTACTGTAGAAGTATCAGTTTGCTGCCCGAAGAGACCTCTGAAATCTGAGAAGCCTCACAGGCTCTGCAGCCAGTGTTGCTGTCATCTTGATATTACATCAGGAGGAGTGAAGAAGTGCTCATGATTGAAGCCTAGCAATCCAATGACAAGATAACACAAGAAATAATGACATCAGCTTGCGTAAACTCTTGCACTATATGAGAAATTAAACCAGCTAACTGTCTCTCTGAGAGCTGTACAGAAAGTGAGGGGAAAATATGAGTAAATACAAATACTGAAACAAATGTTGGCTATGTCTAAAAAGTCTCAGTTTATGCACCTTTAAAATTTCATGGCTGTGTTTCTCCTACACAGTCTACTTTCCCTCTACTCACATGTCAGGTGGCAAGTATTTTTGTGCATACACTTGGGACACATCCTGGCACAAAACAGGTAGAAGATGCGTACGCAGCAGCTCTCATAAATATTAGCAAGTTTCTGTGCTTTGGTCTCCCACACATCATTGCATCGAACAGCTAATTACAAGCCTGATTACTCCTCAGCAAGATCATTTACAAACAGTATGCCCTGGAACCTGCTCTTTCATCCATGCACAAAGAAGGAAGTGTATCATTTTCACACAAGTAGCAGGAGCTGCTGCCACACAGTTCCCAACCATCCCCCTTAACCACATCCCTGAGCAGGACAGGTTTAAAGAATCTCTGTGCACACACAGCCACCAGCCACGGCATCTCCTCTGGTTCTCTTCCTCTCTCCTCAGTCCACTACTCTCCATCACAAGCAGTTTCAGTTTCCGTGTTGATAGCTAATTCAACCATGCCACTTCTCGCTTCCCCTTCGTAACTTCTTCCAACCCTCCTCCCCCTCACCCCATGTCACTATCTCCTGACCTGCTCTTCACTAAAGAGCGCTCTTTTCTGCTCTCTCTCATTAATACCACAAAACTGTGTTTCAACATCATGTCACTAGCTGCTTTCAGTGCAATCTGTCTGACTTTGAAGATGTCCGGTGCAATCTTTCCAATCCCTTTTAAATTCTACCACTTCAAGAAACACTTATTTTTTTGTAAGCTAACAGAGAGGCGAACAACAATCCCTTTTTACCTGCAGGGTGGCCTCTTCTGCATTGCCCACAGTGAACCTGAAGTGCTCTCCAGCAAGAACCATGTCTCACTCCGTGTTTTGCAAAACGTTATACAGGTTATTTGGTATTTATTATCTATAAGCTTGTTACTGTAATAAGAAAATAGAGTACCCTTTCCTTATAATACTGAAAAAAATACGTATACCCCAATCCTACAACTGAGACGGAACAGACAACTTTTAAGGGTGCTAAGCGACAGCAGATTTTAGCCAGAATGTAACTGATCCTTTTTGACTCCCTGGAACTAATCAGATAATCATGGGCTTGCATCTAACAAGATAGCCATAGTCATCTTGTCTTGCTTCAATGACTTGTAAGAACAGAAGTTAAAGGAAGGGAAAATAAAAATTAAATTAAATTAAAATCTTTGTACAGTGTCTGGTTTTCTGACCAAAAAAAAGAAATCCCATCTTCTCACTTTGCTCTTTTCATTAAGAATTGTAATAAAACAAATATGCCGTGATTTGGAACAAGGTTTAACCACTTTAGTAACACTTCACTGCAATAAAAAAAAACTCAGCTTTTAAGTGACTGTAGTTTTTCAGGAGACTATAACAAAACACACATCTGCTCCGCCTTTTACAGTACAAGGTGTAGCTGTAAAATGAAACACGAGTTAGAACATCAAGAAAAGGAGTTGCTAAATATAGCTATTTAATAAAAGGCAATGCAGCAGGTTTTTTGAGAGATTAGGCCCTTAGTACAAAGGAACTGCCTCTCAGAGGTGGCTTCTTAAACAGCTTCCGCTGAATCTAATATACTGGACTTCCTCTTTTAAAGTAGCTCTTTCTTCCAAAAACAGAGCGAATGGTGGTTTTAGTCTAACTTAAATCCTAAGTCATAAGCCAAGTTTGTAACTTACTATGAAACAATACTGTAGCTGAGAATATCTACTTCGTCAGAAAAGGTGGAAAGAATATCATAATATTTGATCAATCTAACTGACCACTTCTATACTGTTTTGGCTACCTGCTCCAGTTTAAAAATAACGTCACAAAGAGCTTCCTAACAGTAAAACACATTAGACCTCCCAAAAGTACTAATGGAAGCCCTTGATATCAGACCTAACCTTTTAAATATTAAGAGTCTTCTTACACTCACCCACAGGTACCCCTCAGCTTTGTTACACCCATCACTGCACAACTATTTGAATCAACAATATTTCTACCCATTCATGCAGCAGAACTCCATAATGACCCTCATCACCCCATTATCTGGATACCTCTAAACCAGCAGGGTATAAACTACAACTTATGTGCAATAGAAACATCACTGTTCTTCTGCCGAAGAGTTATTGAAGCCTAAAGTAGGAAGGTCCAGCACCACTTACAAGGTTCAACAAGTGCGCTAATAATCACAGAAACAGATCATAAGCTCTAGTTTGGACACAGACACCAATACATGACTCTTGCCCTTTGACTGTGGGCACTACGGGAACTAAACTTGGATGGTGTCCTGTACCACATGCAGAATTCGGACCACTTGTTACTGTTTGTGTAAGAGTAGTTTTAATACTGTTTTTTATTGAAAAGCCTGACTGATTTGGACTAAAAAGTCAGAAAGACTCACTGTAAGTAACCAAGTGAACATGGACACAAAAAAAAAAAACCAAACAACCTACTTAATCTATCCCAAAACCTCTATATTTAGTTTTACTTCAGTACAGTACTTCAGAGTTTCAGAAACAAACCGTTCTTATCCAAAGATCCATCTACAACTCTTAACTCTCTTTGGTAAGAGAGTGGTAACACAAAGAAAGAGAGGAAAAACCGTAGTAAAGGCAAACTATAAACATACAGGCTAGCAAAGAACATCTCAGATAAGCACTGATGAATCCATGCTCTGTTATAACTTCACCCATATGACACAGCAGGTGCTTTCCAGGCACACAAGGTCAACCATGAAGTGCAATCCAAAGTTTTACGCTAGTCCTCAATTTCTACATTTTCCCACGTGCTCTGGGCACCGCAAAAGGGTGGTCGCATCCTCGGCCCCTAGCTTTGCCTTTGGATCCACTTCAGACGTCACCTCACCCCAGCAGGCGCTGCCTTGGCACAGCACCACCGGTACGGATATCCACCAGCGACGCCAGTTCAGTACCACAGCGCTAATAATTAACAACAAACAACGCACGGCTCGTTGCGCGGAGCTTTGCGACGCAGCTGCCGCCCTCAGAGGCGAAAAGCCGGGCAGGGGAACCGCAGCCAGGCGGTTGCCCACCTGCCACAACGGCCTGGCGGGGACTGAAGCCCTGGCCCCAAGCTGGGGCCCTCACCCCTGGGCCGGAGCGGGGCTGCTGTCAGGCCCACGCCGACCCTCCGACGGTTTCCCTCCTTCTTCTTCAGCGGGCTGGCCTGCGGCGGAGAACGGCCAGACCGCAAGGTGCGGGGCTGCGGGGTTCCCCTCAGGAAACCCCCACACTCCCTCCTCCGCTTCAGGCCAGG